TTATCCACTTAGAAAATGGATAACCAATGGATAACTAATAGGTTTAATCTTTACATTTGTAAAGACTCAAATTTGGGGTTCCTCAAGTTTGGGAGACTACGAATTCTCCCAAAAATGATCATATTCAAGAAGCCATGGATAATATGGATATCCATATTATCCGTCGGCTAATCCATTTTTTATCCGTATTAAATATGGGTCAAATCGGATAATTTATCCGTTTTTGGCATTATCCCATTTTCGACCCGCTCATATCCAACCCGACTCGCCCGTTTGTCATCAGGTAATCATGGTGTAGCTATGAGATGATATGGTTGGCTTCTTTAGATCCTGATGGTTGGGCATCATGTCCATCAGTTAGTGTTTTTTTTTTGCCTTTATGTACGTACAATTTTGATTTGTACTAAATACAAAAAAAAAGGGATCTTTACCTAAATAGCCGCCTGGATTCACTATTTACTTTTTTATTAGGTATACATAAATTAGATATTGATTATATCTGATTATACACACACACACAATATATATATATATATGCTAATTATTTTTAATTTAAGTGGTTGGATGGATAACTATTTAGGTTAAATCTTCAAAAACAAAGGGATATATCCATATTAGATGTTATTAAGCCCGATCATCTCTCTCTCTCTCTCGGCGCACGTTAAGCAAAGTCATCTCTCTCGGCTCACGTTAAGCAAGGTCTGCTAACGTGCATTGGTGGAGATGGCGAGACAGAGGAAGAAGAACACCAAAGCTAAGGAATCGACAGTAGACGAGGAAGATAAGGCAGAGGATGAAAATACCAGACTAGTTACACCAGAAACGGGGATTCCCCAAGCTCTAGATTCAGTGCAACTGTTCCATTGGATGAAAGGCATGGGGAGTGCTCCAACTGTTATACATGGACAAGAGAGGAAGAAATCGGAGGAACCGGTGGCAATTCAAGCACAGGCAGCTCCGATAGTGAAGACTCCTGCAGATCCTGCACCAAATGAGACGGAAATGGCGAAAGAAGCTAGGAAACTTATGCTATCAAATCAGAAGCCAAATTCTGAGGGAGCAGAGATAAACCTAGCTGAAGTGGTTAAAGGTAATAGATCTCAACGACAGGGGATGCAATTGGAGTATTACCCCCCAATTGTCAAGGATGGAGTGAAGATGGTTAGATTGAATCAAATTGAAGTCAAGGAGCAAATTCAGAAATGGCAGGCATCGCTAATTGGGTATGTATTGGGAGGAAATCCATCGTTTAAAGATATGCTTAAGTTTGTGTATGGTGTGTGGAACTTTGTAGCAACTCCACAAGTTTTCCTACATGATGATGGATATTTTGTTTTCAAATTTGAATCCAAAGATGATAAGAAATTAGTTATACAGAAAGGACCATATACTTTTAATAATCGACCAATGATATTGAAGCAATGGGAACCTAAATTCCAAATGAGCAAGGAGAAAACCAGGAACATTCCAATTTGGGTGATGTTCCCAGGGCTGCCAATAGAGTATTGGACAAAGGAAAATTTAGGTCGAATAGCAAGCTGTATTGGAAAACCTATATGCTCTGATAGGCAAACTGAAGAAGGTGAAAGAATTTCTTATGCTAGGATGTTGATTGAAATGGATATATCACAGGAGTTGCCAAATGTATTGGTAATTGAAGAGGAAGAGGGTATATACAGGGAACAGGTACTAGAGTATGAATGGAAACCAGACTTCTGTGATGCTTGCTTCCAAATAGGCAAACATGAAGTCAATTGTGAAAAAGCCCCAAGTGAGAAACAAAAATACAGAGAAGAGAAACAGAATAGACAAGCTGGGATGAAGCAACAAAAGAAGATGCAATGGAAAGTAAAAGCCACAGTGGAGCAAGGAGGAACAGCAAAGGTGCAGGAAAAAGCAATATCACAGGATAAGGAGATGACTAATCAAGGGAAGGAACAACAAGAAAGTCATAACAGTGAAACTCAAGAGGAGACTTTTCAGCCACAGCAAAGATCTAAAGGAAAGCAACAGATGAAGGCAAGCAACAAAAAAGTACTGAATGGTCATGAAATAGAAAAGTTGTTAATGACTAACAGATACAGTCATTGAGAATACAAGAGCCTAGCAGCACTGTTAGAAGGGCTGAAGGGATTGACCTCAATGAGGAAAATCCCCCATGAGAATAAGTGCATGGAATATAAGAGGGCTGAATAAGCCCTATAAGCAGAGAAAACTCAAGGCCTATCTGCTGAAAAATAATATTACTCTACTAGGCTGCCTTGAGACAAAGATAAAGCCTAGGAGTGTTAGNGTATAAGAGGGACGTGAATAAGACCCTACTAAGACAGAGAAAACTACAAGGCCGTACTACTGCTGAAAAAGTAAATATTACTCTACTAGGACGTGCCTCGTAGACAAAGATAAAGACCTAGGAGTGTTAGTAAAGTTAAAAGGAAGTTTGGAAATGACTGGCAGATATTTTCAGATGAACAGATAAATCCTATTGGTAGACTATGGTTATTCTGGAAAGATGCTAAGGTGCAGGTCAACATCCTGATGGTCACTACTCAAGTGATCCATTGTCAAGTGAAGGATAAGGACTCCCAATTTGAATGCTGTATTACATTTGTGTATGGCAAGAACAAGTTACATGAAAGGAAGGAACTATGGGATCAACTAAGGATGATTTATAGTAATATGCATGAGTCTTGGTTGGTGATAGGAGACTTTAACAGTGTTCTATCTGTCAATGATAGAATAAATGGTCAGCCTATACATCAAAATGAGATAGTAGATTTTCAGAATTGTATAAAGGATATTGGAGTGGGGCAATTGAATAGAAAAGGGTGTCAGTGGTCGTGGTGCAACAAAAGAGATGCTGGAGAAAGAATATACAGTAACATTGATTGGGTGTTTGGAAATGCATCTTGGTTTACTAAATATAGTAGTCTAAAAGCAGTTTATGAGGTACCGGGTGTTTCAGACCACTCTCCTATTGAAATAAATGCTGAGGTGAAAAGAAGTTACTTCAAAAAACCTTTTAGACTATATAATGTACTGATAAACCAAAAGGAATTTCAAGAGAGTGTGCAAGAGATATGGAACCAAAGAATTGAAGGGCATACTATGCATTCCATATGGACCAAACTACAAAGAATACAGGACAGAGCAAAGCTGATGAATAAAGAGATGAACTCATTAGAAAAGAAGGTGGAGAAAATCAGAATGGAGTTGCAGAATATCCAAAAACAGATTGACAATGATCCTCTGAATCAGCAGCTAATTGAACAGGAAAAGGAAATGATAATGCAAGCAGAGAAATGGGAGGGAATACATAAACAAGTGTTAAGACAAAAATCTAGAGCAGTGTGGATAAAAGCAGGTGACAGAAATTCCAAATTTTTTAATGCTCAGCTAAAGAACAGACAGTCTAGAAACAGAATTGCTTCCATTTGTAATGAACAGGGAGAAAGAGTAACAGAACCAAAGCAGATTGAAGATGAGTTCAAAAGCTTCTTTCAGAACTTACTGGGATGTGCAGCAGCTGAACTACCATGCATTGAGCTGGACATAGCTAGGAATGGACACTGTCTCACAAAGGAGCAACAGAAGATGCTGAGTTGTAAAATAACAAGAGAAGATGTTGACAAAGCTGTGAAGGAGTTACCAAATGACAAAGCACCAGGGATAGATGGTTTTACTGCAGAATTTTTTAAGGAATACTGGTCTACAATTGGGGATGAGGTCAGAGCAGCTGTACTAGAATTCTTTAGCAATGGGAAGCTATTGAAGAGTGTTAACTGTACAACATTAACACTGATCCCAAAAGTAGCCAACCCAAACTCAGTCAAAGAGTTTAGACCTATTGCATGCTGCACAACTATATACAAGATCATATCAAGAATCATCACAGCAAAATTGAAACTGGTGGTAGACTCAATTGTAGGAGAATCACAATCAGCTTTTATTGAAGGAAGGAACATACTGGACAATGTGATCATACCACATGAGATGGTAGAAGGGTACAACAAGAAGGGAGTGTCACCAAGATGTTGTATCAAGATAGATATCAGGAAAGCCTATGACTCAGTTGAATGTCCTTTCCTTAGAATGATATTGATAGAGTATGGTATGCCTATGAAGTTTGTGGAGATGATTATGGTATGTGTAACTACTGTTAGTTATTCTTTGATCCTAAATGGAGGGTTAAAAAACAGATTCCAAGGGAAGAAAGGGCTAAGGCAAGGAGACCCAATGTCTCCTTACCTTTTTGTACTTGTGATGGAGTACCTGAACAGAGCTCTAAAGAAGTTAAAAGACAATCCAGACTTCAATCATCATCCAAGGTGTTCCAGGAATAATATTACTCACATTTGTTTTGCAGATGATTTAATTCTTTGTTCAAGAGCAGATGAAGTGTCTATCAAATTGATGCTGGAAAGTTTCAACCACTTCTCAGAGGTATCAGGGTTGAAGGCCAATCTAGAGAAAAGTGCCCTATACATTGCAGGTGTTACAAAGGAATTCAAGGAGAGGATACTGAATGAGATGCAGTTCACTCTAGGAGAATTACCATTTCGATATCTTGGTGTTCCACTTTCCTCAAAAAAGCTGTCAGTGCAGCAGTGTATGCCCTTGATAGAAAAGATAACAGCAAGGATAAACTGCTGGACAACAAAATGGTTATCATATAGTGGAAGGTTCCAATTACTGAAGAGTGTGATATTTGAGGTGCAAACATACTGGGCACAAGTATTTCTGTTGCCAAAGAAGATACTCAAGATGATTGTTACTGTATGCAGAACCTTTTTGTGGACAGGGAAAAGTGATCTTTCAAGGAGAGCATTGGTAGCATGGGACACAATTTGTATGCCAGTGTCAGCAGGAGGATTAAATATTCTGGACATCTATGCATGGAACAAAGTTGCATTGTGCAAATTGTTATGGGCCATTAGTGCAAAGAAGATACACTATGGATTCAATGGGTCCATAGTTATTATGTAAAAGATAAAGATGTGATGGCCATGGACTCTCCTAAACAAGCCTGTTGGATAGTGAAAAAAGTTTTTGATACTAGGCAATGGTTTCTGGAAAAACACTCAAGAAATGAGCTGAAGCAATACCAAAGAAATGGTAAGTTTAGCATCAAAAAGCTATATATTACAATGAGGCCTCAGTTCCAGAAGGTCTAGTGGAAGAAGATTATAGCAGGATCGAAAGCAATACCAAAGCATAGCTTCATACTTTGGTTAGCAGCTCACAGAAAACTAGCCACAGTGGACAGACTAAGAAGATGGGGCAATATAGTTGACACTGAATGTGTACTATGTGATACAAATGAGGAAGAATCAATGGAGCACATATGGTTTGGATGCAGATATGCCAAAACAATATGGTATACACTGGTTAATTGGCTGCATGAAAAACATCAGATTGGTACATGGGATGATGAGATTAAATGGCTGACAAGCAGAAATCCAAGCAGAACCTGTGGAGAAATACGAGTGTTCTTATTCACAGCCATGGTGTATCATGTTTGGATAGAGAGGAACAGCAGAAGATTCCAAGGAAAAGCAGTAGAAGCCAGGCAGAAGATAAAAGATATAGCTCTGGAATTGCACCTGGCTGGACAGAATGAAAGGAAATGGCAGAAAGAACTAGCAAGACTAAAGAATTATCCAAGTATAGTATAGAATGAGTATAGAAAATGAGGGATAGATGAGTAAACAGAAAATGATAGCTGAGAATGTTCAGAATTGTAATAGATAGAATCTAGTTCTAGAGTTAAAAAAAAAAAAAAGAACTAGTGGATGTAAATATTATTTCTTGGTTAAATAAAATTTAAGCATTTAACCAAAAAAAAAAAGGGATATATCCATCCAACTGCTTGTTGATGCGAAATTTAGCTCGCTGAGCTCACATGGACAGAATTTAAACATTTGCCTCAAAAGAAGGCCATGTGGTGCAAATATTTCCGAACGTGCAGCAGTACTGGGCCATTACTAGATCAAGATGTCTGATTCAAAGTTCAAGTCCAAACCAAATCAAATAAAAGCCCAACTCCAATTTTAACTCAAGACCACAGCAATAACTATAGGGATCTCTACAGCTGATCATCTCTTAGATCATCTTCTCCAATGTACCAAAACGATAAGCCAAGCAGAACCTTCCAGAACTTCCAGAAAATACTCCATTTAAATCTCCATTCCTTTTTATAAGACTCTTCTCTTCAAAGTAAAATAAATAAAAGAAAACTCAGAGACGAAAAAAAGGAGAAAAAATGGCGCTTTTTAGTGACCCATTCAGACGATTCTTATTGAGTCCCACAATTTTCCGCACCTCTTCTGGTTCTGCTGCTCTTCTGGATTGGGTTGAATCTCCTAATGCACACATCTTCAAAATCAACGTCCCAGGTTAGTGCGTATTATATATATTTTAAGAACTCAATTTTTTTATGAAATAGGTTCGAAATCAATATGATTATATATGTTTTGTGAAAAATTAACTACATATGTATATGTATAAGTTGAGTTGGATGGGAAATTCTTTGATTCATATAGTAAAAGAGGGATCTTACACTACGAAATAGACCTTAGAAAATAAAGGAGGATGCGGTAAGAGGCGGAGCCATGAAGCTTATGAATTTGTGCTTTTAGTTCTTTTAAGTTACTACTAGATTTCTAAAGTAATAATGTACTTCATGAATTGTACAAGATAATATAGAGTCTGTACAAAAGCTACTGAATTTGGCCGAACCGTAAGCGACGGGCTAGCTCCGCCCTCGGATGCAGCCTTCCGGTAACTGAGTTCAACTGAAAAGTATTTTCTGCACGAGACGGATATTTATGTGAAAATTACTAAATTTTAGGGATATTAAATTTTAGCTAGTGATGCTTGCACCGGGTACACTACTTACATTAAATCTCTTCGGAGTGCGACTTTTCTCCGGATTTTACGGAAACACAAAATATTTCGTGCACCAAGCTGTCTTTTTTACAATTTGGAAGTGTGAATTCAGTATAAAGATCTTTAAAGGTTGAATGGATTAATTTATGATTTTCTATCCAGTTCAGTGTGAAACAATTGCAATAAAATTATCATAATTAACTGTGATGAGTTCGTCGATATGCAATATGCTATTACTCATACAATCATTGGTTTGATCTTATTTCAATGTGTTAGAACTTAATACTTATAAATAATAATAATTATGTCTTAGTCCCAAACAAGTTGGAATCGGTCTTTAAACATATATTTTAAAATTTTAACATATAGATTAATAGTGAGGATTCATATAAATTATAGTATACCATAACGTGTCTTAGATTGAGGCATAATAATTGTTGTGCTTTTATAAATTTGCTCTTGATTTCGTTTAGGATTCAATCTTTTAAAGGGTTCATGCAAATTTATAATAAATTTGATAGGGTATAGCAAGGAGGACATAAATTGATAAGTCGGGCATTCCTAGCCCACCAAAGCGAAACCAGTGGTTTCTTGGTCACAACCAGCTAAGGCTAAAGCTCCATTAAGGAGTGTTTCCACCTGGTAGAACCTCCCAGGGAATATAAGGTTTTCATGAGGCTGGCCTCGAGTACCTTCGTTTAAGAGAATATTTTTGGTGTATAAAGCCTCAAATTCAGGATCTTCCGTTGCACGAATTTCCTGAGAAGCGAAGTCATTCACATAATTATGTAGAAGTTTCTCAATAAAATTGCTAGTTGTAGAAGATCACATAGGAAAAGAGGCACAGGGCCATCAATAGTAGTTGTTGTACTATAGATCCACTCTTGATTTCGTTCACGATGCAATCGTCGAAACGGTTTATGCAAAGTTGTGAAATGAATTTGACAGGGTATAGCAAGGAGGACATAAAGGTGCAAGTTGAAGATGGGAATGTACTAGTAGTGAAGGCGGTGGGTGGCGGCAAGAAAGACGAATTCCATGGAAAAGAGAAGGAGATAGTGTGGCATGTGGCGGAGAGAGGCGGAGGAAAGGGAGATTTCTCAAGGGAAATTGAGCTGCCGGAAAATGTGAAGGTGGATCAAATCAAAGCTCAAGTGGAGAATGGTGTTCTCACCATTGTTGTACCAAAAGATGCAACTCCAAAACCATCTAAAGTTAGGAACATTAATATTACCAGCAAGCTGTAAAATCTTGGCTATGGAACAATGGAAATAAGGATGTTTTGTGTAGGTTGTGTTATGGAATTTGATGAATGTAATAAAGTTGTTGTAGAATAATCAAACTTTTTGTATCTAAGTTTATGCACTTTATCTATATATCTTCCATTTTTCTCTTTCCTAATTTTACACTACAATATACCAAACCATTGATCTTGTTGAAATGCCATTAGTCTTGATTATTGGTTCTTGATTATATATCTAGAATATTATGTTTTTGGTAACCTTGTTTGGTGTAATTCTATTTGTGATCTTGTTCTCTTGGTAACACTCTTTATCTTCTTGGCTAGATAATGACTAAGAGTGGTTGGAGATCTTTTTGAAGGTAAAACACAAAAATCTTTATGGAACACTTGTACGACCTAGAGTTGCCACTAAATATATGAATTAAATTTTGGATTCCAGAAGCAATCAAGTTGGGGTCATTTGTTTCGGGGGAGTGTAAACTTCGTCGTCCGAATACGATCGGGCGACGGATTCATAATTTTAAGTTTATGGGTTCCTAAAGAATCTTAAGTTAAAATATAATCATAACTAGATTAACGAAGTGGGTTCCAAACTAAATATTCTTATATATTTAATAAATTTTTCAATACAATATATGATCTAGACAAAAGCTACTGGGTTCACGGGAAGCCGTAGTTATTATTCTGGATTTGCCCCTGTCGGTCCCCACAACACTAGGTGTTGGCGACTACATGTGAATATGATCGGTCCCGACTACACTAGGTTTTACTATGATAGCAAAAGAAGCCAGACTAGTGGTGATAGAATGGTTAAAAGAAAATAGTTATCCATCCATATTATTCATTAAAAAATTTGTTGGATAATAAACTTTTTAAACGGGTCAAATATGGATAAGAACCATATTATCCACTTAGAAAATGGATAACTAATGGGATTAACTTTTACATTTATAAACCTCAAATTTGAGGTACCTCAAGTTTGTAGACTAAGAATTCTCCAAAAAGCGGTCATATTCAAGAAGCCATGGATAATATGGATATCTATATTATACGCCGGTTAATCCATTTTTTATCCGTATTATGATTTATCCGTTTTTATATTATCCGTTTTCGATCCTTCTATATCTGGCCTGATCCGCACGTTTGGCACCCCTAGGCCAACGGTGACAATTGAGAGGTTGTCATTGATATTCCTAATCATACAAACAAAAAAAGAGATCCAATGGCAAGGCAAGGCTATTACGCCCGTTTGGTCCTCACAGAGTATAGCTCAGATCTAGGCATTGGAACGGACAAACGCTCATGAAGCTCTCCCAAAATATGTTGGAATTATATATATATATATATATATATATATATATATATATATATATATATATATATATATATATATATATATATATTATAAAAGCATGAATACAATGTCGGTTTACAAAAATAACCTTTTAATATTAAGCATAATAACTCATAATAAAAGGACATAACCAGAATTCTAGATATTAGCCTTATAATCCTATTAGTTTTAAGACATAATATTAAATCTTTAGGAATCCTATTAGAATATATTAGCATTCCTTTTGTTACCTAATAATTTTAGCACGTATCCTTCCTATTAGCATTCCTTTTGTTACCTAATAGCATGTATCCTATTATGTTTCTTTTTAATATAAACTTTCAGTGTAGAGACATTTTTAGTCATTAATCCTATTAATTTTAGGATACCTCTTAAAAATTTCTATTACTAATTCAATTTGAAAACGTATTATAATGTCTTATTACTAATTAAATTTGAGAATGTAATAAATACAATATTAATAGACCAAAATAGCCCTAAAGTATTAAATGGAAGAACTATAGGGAAAGTGCATATGTGCAATAACTTATTTTTTGGACAAATTTGAGAATGTATTATATTGTGCAAATCGATTTTGAAAAAGGAGAGCTATATTATTATAAAAAGCACAAATACAATATTAATAAACTAAATAGTCATAAAATATTAAATGGAAAATCCATAGCGAAAGGACATAACTGCAATAACTTGTTTTTTAGACTACAATACCGTCTATGATAATTTTTAATATTTTAAACTTAATAAAATTTTATCTATTAAATTCTTATTAAAAACATGTAGGAAGGTTTAATTCAATCAATTTTATAAGACTCCTCCGTATTAGCAATACATTATCACTCCATAATTTTTAATACCAAAAAAATAAAAGTAATACTAAATAGACTGCATAAAGAGTTGAAATTGAGGAAAAAAATTCCTACAATAATATTTTTTCTATATTATATTTAAATTATTTTCCTACTCAAATAATATTTTTTAAAATCAATTTTCCGTGTAATACCGAAAAACACTCAATTATCAACAAGTAAAAAAATATTTAAGAATATAAATGTGTGAGAAAGAGAAAAAAATAGTTGGTAAGAGTCAATACCGCTAATGATCCTTCAAACATAAAGATCTAAAAGTGAAATGTCATATCAATCTTTTACTCTTTAAAAATAAACTTTACGGTGGATAAAATTATAATTAAGATTAAATATTCAAAACAATAGATGAACTAATATTAAGATCTGAATCAACATAGAATAAAATTAAATCTTTTAGTTAATTATTTAGCAAGAGAATCCAATTCAATTATTTTTTAAATTCATCATATGAGTAAAATTCTTATTCAAGTTATAAAAAAAATCTTAGGATACATAGATTTATTCCATAAAAAGAGCTTTAGAGATTAAAAAATTTAGAACACAAAGTAAAATAGTTAGTATATTATTAAGAATCAAAATGATATATAAGTGTCTTAGGAAGCACAATCAAAGCTAAATCCTAAACAAGAACAAGCTTTTAATACTATATCATAAAGAGTCGACTCTGGTATAGCGGATTATTATGTAGATGCGTCCGACGGAATCAGAATAATATTTCTATGTCATGCATTACTTGCAAATATCATATCAAGAGGTATGATACTGTTAACAATAATAGCAAGTGGTATACCAACAACGATTTTATTGTGAAGCCGCCCATTTTAGATTTGATATACCTCTTCAAACAACTTAAATAACCATCACAAATATATCAAAGCAGAGCAATGGTGCTAAAGTTATTAAGGAAAGTAAAATTGATAATATGAGATGAAGCACTTACGGCTAAGTGTCAAACGATCGAAATAATTGCCCGTAGTTCTAGAGATATACTGGATATTAATGAACCGTTTGGTGACAAATTAATAGTTTGGGAGGTGATTTCTGTCAAGTACTACCAGTAGTTCCAAAATGATAAAAGCAGAGACTGTAAAAGCTGGCTTGCCAAAGTTATACCTCTGGCCTCAAATGAAAAAGATTCAACTCACAAGAAATATAAAGTAAGAATAGATCCAGTATTCGGTGTCTTACTGCTTCGTGTCGGAAACGAAGAAGAGAATCCAATAAAAGATTGTTTGGTTCTTCCTGAACACTTGGTTAGCAACCCCAATGATAATAGTAATGCATTTAATAAGAGAAATATTTCTGTTAATAGATTAAAACGCAATTTGTGCAAATCGCATGATAGAATTAGAAAGCTATCTTAGGTAGAAAAAATAAATATGTTGATCAACTAAATAAAATGTTGATTGCAAAATTTTTATAGTAAAACTAAAATATTTTTCAGTTTTTTACTCAGCAAAAATGATATCAATAATTACTACCGAGAAGAATACTTAAATACTTTAATATCAAATGGTCTTCTACCATACATGTTTGTTGTTTCTTACGTATGTTAGTGTCACTGTATATATAACAGACTAAGTTAAAATTGATATTCCATTGTATGTAGATTGATTTTGAAGAAAAATATGCATGTCATGCTACTGAAAACTTAGATACACCGAATAGCTTATGTAATAGCACACATATGGTATATAGAAGTTTTGACAGTAACATCATACATGCAAAAATTTTGATACTGGTCAATGTGCTTCTAAGTATATTCTTATCCCTGAATTCAACTTTGCACTTCCGAAACTAAGGAATATCCTTTTAAATTTGTGTGAAAATAACTTTTAGTATGTTTGTTTTTTGTAAATATAATAAATAAAGCACAATGACAAACATCCTAAATATTAGACTATATTTATCGCAATATGCTTTCTTGCATGAACAACTGTATATTATACTTTCAAGAGGGATATCAAGATCGACAACAAGAGTTTTGGTTAAGGCAAAGTAACTAAATCATTAGGAGGAAATATACACACAAAAATATATCCTCCACAAAGAAGTGTTCAGTAAGATACCGTCACATTAAATACTTTTGAAATATACTCTCTCCGATCCACTAGGTTAATATAGTTAATTATTTTGTTAATTAATGCTAAAAGGTGAATTTCTTAATATGTGTGAAAGCAACCAAGAAATTACTTGAAGTGGACCAGAGGAGGAAATACAAAATTATCTAACTAACATGACAAAATTGATCATTTGTGTAAGTTTTGATGATGTCCTTATATATTAAATTCATGTATTATGCTAATGTAATAATATTTTTCGGCATGTAGATGATTGTTGTAATATTATACATAAAATTTCCCTCATTAATTAAATTTTATTATTCCTTCATATAAATAAATTTTAAACTATCATGTGCCATTATTAACGTGCAACGCACGTTCATAGATACTAGTATATATTAAAAGCACGAAGGCCTTTAGCGAAATGTTGTTCGCCTTTTTTACCCTTTAAAACTTGATTTCATACTAGACAATTTAGTCATTTCATTATTTCTCCTAATTTTTTTAGGACTTTAAAATCACCTAAGATTTTTCTTATTATATCTTTCCTTAATCCTTTTTTGAAGTATATAAGTAAAAAGTCATAATATTTGGCAACATGTAACACATTAAGTATGAAACCTAACGTGAGTAATTTTCCATCCAAAGAAAAGCTACATTTCCATTGTTAGATATCCTTCGACAAATATAAGAAGCATAAAAAGAAATCAAGAAAATTAATTTAAAATTTAATTTTACACTCAAAATAATCATTTAATTATTTTTTTTACTTTTAGGACGTTAAAATTAGTTGAAATTTACTTATTATATTTTTTTTATTTGAACTATGTAAAAATCTTAATATATAGAATTATATGACGTGTAATATATTTATTAA